GGTTACGGGTACGTAGTTGGGTAGGGTAACGGAAACGTACTACTACGTTCTTATTTAGTTCTACTAGTACGTGTCTACGTAGTTATTATATATATATATATATATATATATATATATATACACACCAAGTCAACAGTTTTTTTTATTAAAGAGAAAAACATTGTGCTTTGAAGGTATTTATAAAAGTGAGAAAAAATCGTCATACACTATACCCATATGTCTTGACCCATATTTCCAATTATTTATGACCCTTAATTACCTAAGACCTTGAACCATATGGAATGTTGTAGGAAGATCATCTTGCTAGCCTTCTTTGACACATGTTGTGTTGATTAGATAACTTGGTTTGTATGGATTTACTACCAAGATGGCTAGTGTGGTTGAACCTTTGTGGTTCAGGAAAGTTTTGCATATTGTGAAACATACGGGCATCGAACTACTTATTGCATAAGATTGCTAAGAATGTATATATTATATGTGCAACAATTGAGTGGAAGTTACTACAAACCACGTTTTTTTAGCTGCTTGGATATTCAGATGTATAGGTGCATACTATCTTACAGATCCAGATGATGCAAAGTTTACATCTAGATATGTATTCATGCTTAGAGGGGGTACAGTTTCTTGAAAATCAAAGAAACAGGACGTGGTGGCATTATCCACCTTGGAGGCAGAGCACGTGGCGTACTGTTTGGCGGCCAAGAAGGTTGTATGGATTAACAAATTTCTTAATCAACTTGACTTTCACCCCGTGCGTTGTGAGGCAGTAAAGATTTTCTGTGACAACACGACGATGATATGCATATCAAATAAGTCACGATTTCATAAGAACTCCAAACATACAAAACCATGTTTCTATCACTTGATGAATGAGATGAGATTGAGAAAGATCTAGATCTAGATAAACTAAATATTCTAATAAGAGCACCTGCTAGTATTTGACAAGTCAGCTAGAACAACATAATATAATGTTCTTCACCCACGGAACCAGGATGTATGGCGTTAGTTGTATGGCAACAGAAAGAAGCAGCTTGTTTGAAGAACTCCTTTTGAGCTCATGAGCATACAACTCCATGTAATGAGGGTACGTAATGATCTTCTGCAATAACAAGCTCATGATTCGTAATGAGATATAAAAGATGGACTACGACAACTTTTTGAAAAAAAAACTTATGTTACCTAAGCATAGAAAACTATCTGATAAAGTTTCTAATAGGTCATCCCTTGATGAGGTCGGAATATACCTGAATGAGTTAGCCGAAAAACTTTGTGACGCTTTTGTGTGATCATGGTTTTCAAATATGGGGGCCAAAGCCTCATCTGCGAGCCATCACACGGCATCGATATATGATAGCCGTTTCAAGAAAACGAACTACCTTTCAGGGTGAAGCTTATGCATGTGCAAGATATACCCATATGAGCCATAAGAGTTGTAGTCACATCAAGTCTACGTGACCTTAATACGTTTCTAAGGGAGAACCTAAAATCCACAAATTGATATTACGACTCCTTAGCTCATAGGCCAGACTTTAGTGAAGGTGGACTGGCCCAATATTTATTTATTTAAAAAACCATATAAATCATTTTCTCATTTTATGAATTTAATTATGTTTGTTTTAAAGGAAAAGTTTATATAAGGCCGAGGCTCTAAACAATCAAACTTGAGCCTACTTCAAAAATTTCACTATAAGAGATTGTTTTGATGCCCAAATATCTTCAAATTGATAATCTCGACATCAACATGCATGAACATAAGAAAAAAAAATGGATTTCAAGTTTTTGAATAGTATATTTTGTAACACATTTTTTAACAGTCAATTTTCAAGATTTTCAATATTTCATAGATCTGTTGATCTATACCATTTTTGAAGCTTTAAACTTTACAAACAAATATGAAAATATATTTTAAGGCTACCACAAAGATTTCCAGTATTGAAACCATATTTCTCGACACTATTTGAAGGTAGGCTCTAATTTGATTATTTAGAGCCTAGGCTCTATATAAACCTCACCTTGTTTTAATGATATATGATTTTTAGAATTTTTATTTGAAGTTTTCTAAATCTCTTGATATTTTATTTATCAAATTTAGATTTATAAAAACGAAGATATGGATTTTAGATTTATTTAAATATTCAATTTTGATTTTATAGATTTCTAGAAATCTTATAATTAATTTTAATAATTTTAATATTGCATGGGAAGCCCAATATGTTAATAGGCCCACCCTTGCATGTGGGTGGGGGCATGAACCACCACCTAGGGTGGCACACCCCACCCTAATGAAACTTTTCTTTTGTTAGTGTAAGCTTTTGCCTTCACAAAGCTTTCAAATGATTTTTGAAAAGCATAAGAAGGCTAGTACACAATTTTGGTAAACATTATATTATGAATAAAATTATTTTATTTTATTTCTATTTATGAGAAAATAGAAGGGGGGGATAAAAGTTATAGCACTTTCCTTTATGGCTCATCTATAGAATAGATAGCTCAAATCACTTACCCTACAAGTCATCCAAAGTCACCTAAAATCAATGGTTCAATCTCACAAAAAAAGGTATACCAAAAAGAACATTAATAACCCTAATATTATTCAACGCCTATTAAAAAAGATGATCTCTACCCAAAATATTTATACCTTATCTCCTCCACCTAATTCTCATCTCTATCCCTCACATCCCACAAAAGGGGTATGTCCCACTTAGAATATATCTCTTAAGAAAGTCTCTCTCTCCCTCAAGAAACCCAAAGGAGAGAGAATCTATAGGATTGTGGTAGAAAAGATACTATAGGATTGTGGTAGAAACTATAGGGTTGTGGTAGAAAAGATAAGAATCTCTCTCAAACTAAATTGATAAAGGGATTTACCTAAGGACTTAGGATTTGTGACTCAATGTAAAGTGTAATAAGTCCAATTAAAATAATATCCAACACCCTCTTTTTGTTTTATATCATATTTAATTATAAAGTATAGTTTCTATAAGGTTACAACCTTAAATAATCCAATTAAGGCACACATTAAAATTTTATCATAACTTGTAATTTTGTTGTAAAAAATTATTAATACTATCTTAAAATCTATTTTCATACCTAATTAAAAAATAAGTAGATCAATAAATATATGAAAATCTTAAAAATCTACAGTCTAAACCAATGGTTTAAAAAACGGATCGGTGACCCGGATCAAGCTTCCAAAAAACCGATCCGGATCGACGAATTGGCAATCCGGATCGAGAATCGGGTGAATCGGTCAGAATAAAGCTTAAAAAAAATTCGAAAAAATTATTAAAATTCATTATAAATATTGTTTTTTAGGAATTCAATAAAAAATGAAGGTACTCCATTAAGAATTTTCATGTTTTTGAATGAATATGCGAATATTGATATGTTCTTTCCCTGCATAAACCGCCATTCAACATTTAATTTACAGTATTTCGTGCTCATCCCTACACTGTTGCTGTTGGGACTCGATATGTGAATAATATGGCTGGGATAGGGTAGCCTCAAAATCATCATCTCTCATTTTCTCTTTGAATAATATGGATTAAAAAAAAAAATAACAAATTTTCAAAAAAATCGATCATGGATTAAAAAAAAATTCACAAATTTTCAAAAAATTCTATCATGGATTACAAAAAAAAATTCGATCATGGATTAAAAAAAAAAATCACAAATTTTCAAAAAATTCAATCATGGATTACATAAAATTCGACCATGGATTACAAAAAAAAACAAACAAAATAAAACAAACAAAATAAAACAAAAAATTCAATCGTGGATTACAAAAAAAGAAAAAAACAGTTCGATCATGGATTACAAAAAATTCAATCATGGATTACAAAAAACTCTATCATGGGTTACAAAAAAAGCAAAAAACAAAAAATTCAATCATGGATTACAAAAAAAAAACAAACATTTCGATCATGTATTACAAAACATTCGATCATGGATTACAAAAAATTCTATCATGGGTTACAAAAAACAAAAAAAACAAAAAAATCGATCATGGATTACAAGAAAAGAAAACAAGCATTTCGATCATGGATTACAAAAAATTCTATTATGGGTTACAAAAAACCAAAAAATTCGATCATGGATTACAAAAAAACAAAAACAATTCGATCATGGATTACAAAAAAATCGATCAAGTATTATAAAAAAATCTATCATGGATTAAAAAAAAAAAAAAAAAATTCCGTACGGACTCGCCAATTCACTGTTCGGACTCGCCGATTCCGTACAGTGAATCGGCGATTCACTGTACAAAATCGTCCGGTTCTCTCTAGAACCGGACGATTTCCGATTTTTTAGGCGATCCGATCCCCTTTTCACGATTTCCGAGTCGAACCGGGCGACTCGGCGTTTTTTAAAACACTGGTCTAAACAATTTGTTGCAAAATACACTATTTTTGAGAATCAAAAACTTTTTTTTTTTTTCATATTCATACATCTCAATGTTGAGATGATCAATTAGAGTGTTTTTTTAACATTAAAAATAGATTTTTTAGGTGCATCTTAAGGTTGCAACGCTATATAGACTTTTCCCTTAATTATGTTGTCTTTATATTCTCAAACGTAAAAATTGGTATATTTTTTTTGTTTTAAAAAAAATTGATTTAATGACAAGATTTTTAAGATCTTGAATTTGTTAATTTTATTTTCTTTGAACCAAGACGTATTCGTAATAAAACTTCTTGTAAGTAATCTTTCAAAATTAAAAAAAAAAAAAAAGTGATGAAAACAAGAAAAAACAAAAAAATTTATTTCACGACAGTATTGCATCGGTCTTGAACACATAAAACATATCAATCCGATACAAGACAGCAGATACAGAAATAAGACGCAAAATGAAACAAAACATCGCACATAATGATCCATTCATCCATTCTAAATTTCCTTTAACATAATTTACATTCGATCGAAAACCAGAGAGTAGAACAAAAAGAAGCGAAAGAAGAAGAAACCTTATAACATGAAGAGATCAAGCATCTGCAGCAAGAAGATCCAAGAGAAAGGACGAGGTTAACAGAAACAAAAAGAGTCAAGGGATTCCATTTTCCAGATAGAGAACGATGGAAGAAAAAGAGAGAAGTTGAGAGGGATAAAGCTCTGCTGAAAGTAGAGTATTAACCGCCAAAACCATAGAGGGTTCTCCCCTGCCTCTTGAGAGCATAGACCACATCCATGGCGGTCACAGTCTTCCTCCTTGCGTGCTCTGTGTAAGTGACGGCATCTCTGATGACATTTTCAAGGAAGATCTTCAAGACTCCTCTGGTTTCCTCATAAATCAAGCCACTGATCCTCTTAACTCCACCCCTTCGAGCCAAGCGACGAATTGCAGGCTTAGTGATGCCCTGAATGTTGTCTCTCAGAACCTTCCTGTGCCTCTTTGCTCCGCCCTTTCCCAACCCCTTTCCTCCCTTCCCTCTTCCAGACATCTCTCTCTCTCTCTCTCTCTCTCTCTCTAACCTCTAAGGTTTTCTTCTCACTCTCTCTCTAACCTCAAAGTTTACACTCTCTCGCTCTAAGATCGGGAAGCAGTTTCCTTCACGGCTTCACCAGTGGTGTGTGACGCAATGCTTGGGATGGGGTTTAAATATGGCATCGAGTAAATGAGGGGACACATGAGGACCGTTGGATCTGTGATGTTATCGACCGTGGTGTAGTCGATCCGTGTGAAGTGGTTGACATCGTTTTAGTCCGTTAGATTAGCACAAATCGACGGTGAAGGTGTCTCTGCGCTCTCTCGTTCCCCTGCGCTCTCTCTTTCCCCTTGCACGAAACAGCGGGAACTTGAAAAGGCCGGAATCCGTTTCATTTGTTTTTGGCTTTTGGCCTTTTTGGCGGTGGTCAAGATCCGGATCGATCAGTGGGACAGATCATGACGTATTTGTGTTGTGAATAATTGGATCGGTGAACAAGATTTGGTCGTCCAAAAAAAAATTGTTAAAAATAAAAGAAATTATCATAAATATATTTTAATTTTTTTAATTGAAAAAAAATGTCAACTTTTATAAACCTTATCCACACTTTTTCTTTTTTTTTAATTTTGAGCTTTTTATCAAATTAATTTTTTTGCAACTTTCATAAAACTTATCCACACTTTTTTTTTTTTTTTTAAGCTTTTTTTTATCAAAATAACTTTTTACGATAGCTGCATTATCGTGAAACACCGTTAC